AATTATCTTTATTGGTATGTTGAGATGTAAATTCCTGCATAGATCCACCCAACTTCACTCTGAGGTCCAATCAGAGGCTAGGTCAACTGCTTATATTCTTTCCTACTCTCCCACTTTACATGTATCTATCTTTTCTTTAATGAATCACATTGTCAGACATCATCAGTCGCAAATCAAAAGTTAACAAAAGTAATAGGCATAGTCTGATCAAATGGTTTAAGCCTCACTGAAACATGAACATGTGTTTGAATTTCCCGAAAGCCTCTTTTATCAGTTAATGATCAGAACACTGCAGTTTCCTAACGAATCGTGAGCTTCACTTCAGTGGTTTAGAGAGCGACCTGCAGAAGAAGTTGCCCTGGTCCCTCCCTACAGACCACTGTTTGACATTTTAAAGTGTCGCCTCTGACTGTGTTGTGCTAAGTTAAGCTATTAGCTCCGGTGAATAATTCATTAGAGAAATGCCACAATGTTTCAGAGAATTGGTGTGTGGTGCCTTGATTGATGCTTTATTCTTCTGTGCAGGAACCTTGTCCCCGTTCTGGAATATCTTACTGTGGGTGGCGTTGGGGGTGTTCACCACATTACTTCCTGTCTTACCCAAGCCGTGGGGCATCCTGTTCTTCCTGGTCTCCCTCATTCTACGTGCCATCTACACCATGGGCCTGGGTCCTGCTCTGTTGTTGCTCGGTACTATCAATGTAAGTAATGGAAGATTTGACCCAGTGCTGTTGAGGGACATGTGCATTCTTTTCTCTTCAGACATCAAAGCCGTTCTTTTTCATACCTGAGTCTTCTTTTATTCTCTTTCAGCTGTTCAACAAGTTAGTCTTTCTTGTGAGTTTTGTGGGCAACCAGGGGACGTTCACTCGAGGCTATAAAGCAGTTGTTATGGACATGCTCTTTATCTTCCATTTGTGCTATGCCATCATCTGCGTCCTGGGCCTCTGCGTGCACGAGTTCTTCTACAGCTTTTTGGTAAGAAATCTCTTACATATTTTGTTTCCATTACATTGTGACTGATTGATCAGCGTAGCACTTTAGAGACAAGCACTCTGACTGTGCAAGAACAGTTCTTCCGAATGAATCAATTTCGCTAATTTCTCACTGATGTTGATCTCCCTCCACAGTTGTTCGACCTGTTGAAACGAGAGGAGACGCTGCTCAACGTGATTAAGAGTGTGACGAGGAATGGCCGCTCTATTATTCTGACAGCTGTGTTGGCCATCTTTCTTGTCTACTTCTTCTCTATCATTGGCTTCCTCTTCCTCAAGGATGACTTCCGCTTGGAGGTGGACCGCCTTCCTACACCAGGTCAGAACTTGTTAAAACACTCATTATTTTACTGTGCCGTGCACAGTGAAGGCCCAGGCCGTGTAGCTTGACTCCTGTCTTGGCAAAATAAAAGTCTGTTATTCGAGAGGCATCCTGGTGTCCTGTACTTACAATATCCTGGTTTGAGTCAGGGTAAGAACCTTTATTGCATATAATCCTTCAACTTTTCACCCTCATTCCCTGTCAGGTGTATGCTTTATCACATATTTCTAAAATACTTTGGAAAAGTTTTGTTTTTTTTCCAATTCTTGTGACTTTAAACTTATTTGTTTTATGCTGTAACTGCTTCATGACCTAACCTAACCTAACCTGCACTCTTTTACACTACTCTCATAAATCTCTCTGTGTTGTCTGTGTGTTTCTGGTCTGAACATAATCTAGAGATTGCACATCCTAAAAGTTAATGAGTGTCAAAGCAATATAAAAGATAACTGGCAGGCCCAGCAGTCAGTAGCTCTATATACTGTATATATCAGACACTTCAACATTGTTAAAAATAACCTCTGAACCGTCAAGACAGTCATCAAAAGCATTCTTTGACTCAAAATAAATTCATTACCCAACTTGGTTTTACTGTCATACGTTGATCCACCATATTGAATATTATTGTATTGTGTCTGATTTATTTTCTTTACCCTTTTGGATTACTCAGTTTCTCAATAAAAATTGTAAATCATCATTTGCATCTACGCATAAAGAATTGTAGAATATGTACAGTGTACTGCATATACAAACCCAGACACGTTTTGAAAACGCTGTGTAGAGCGTGGGAGTTTAAATTAGCTCCGACACAGTGCACTGATGGTCAGGGAGACAACCTGCTAGCACATGTGCACCTGTTGCATAACCTGGTGGCCGCGCCATCCTGTGTTTTGCTGGATAGAGCACAGCAGACACAGCAGAGCAGTGGTGGATTATGTAACCAGCTGGGCTCACGCCTGTCTATCTGTTAGCTTTTGGGTGAGCTGAGGCACAACCGGAGCTCCATCAGAGCTGAGGAGCACCCTGTCCACACTGCTTGCTGCCTCTGGGCAGTGACCCCTGCACCCCGCCTAAGCCCCCCCTGTCCCCTCCTCTCTTCTTCATCTTTTTCTTCTTCTGGCTCTTGTCTCCCAGCCCTGCCTTCTGTCCTCCAGCCTGTCAGGGAAGAAGGCCCTTTTAGTGACACTCTGACCCAGGTGTACAGTTCTCCTTCTGCCTGTCTGCCTGAGCTGATCACACTCAAGTACAGCTCCACTGCTGCTCAGGGCTTTGCCGATGTGCAAATGATTTGTTCAGGTTTTTTCAGCAACACTTCACCACCCACCCAGCAGCTGCTGCCTCAGTTTACATAATGTCTGACTATATCTTTCTTGCCGATTTTACCGGCCCTGATGAGAATTAGTTGGAAGAAGTTTTAATGCCAGACCACAATATAACCGTCTTCTTTCATTTGTAAATTCTGTGTGCAGTTATCATTAATCGACTACACATTTTCCCTTTTTCTTTTTTTTTTCTGTGAAAAGGAAAAGAGGATTTATTGAGTAATAAAGGAGTTGGCAACTCATGTATGAAAGACAGCTGCCCTGTTTCAACATCCAAATCTGTTACTGGTAAGTTTTTAAATTAAATTAATTTAGTTTTTAAATCAAATTAAATTAAATTACATTATATTTTATTTTATTAAATTAATTTTATTTTATTTCCCTACATTTTATTTTATTTTACTTTAAATCCTGCCCATTGTGAAAGTCACTGTTAAGTTGACCAGTTTTTAAGATTTTGTTGTTTGACCGGGGTGTGGGTGTGTATGTGACCTTTCCAGCAGTAGTCACTTCCTGAAAGGTTACTTACACAAAACGCACACACTGGGACATGCACTCTAGCAATCATACACTGTTTCAAACACACACACACATACACAAAGGCACGCATACAAAGAAACTTGATGAGGCAGAGGCGGTGACTCACACTCCTGTTTGTACTCCTGCGTCTCCATGGATCACCTGCACCATAGGAGCATGCACGTGATCTTATCCACATCCTTCACCACCTCTTTGTCCTCATCAGCGTTGCCTGCCATTTCCTATTCACTGTACATGTACACATTTCATATGCAACATAAATAATATAGTACATTTCTTCATATTGTATAGAGCTTTAATTTGTTTCATTGTTTCTGTTTTATTCTCACATTTGAGGAGTCGAGGGAGTTAAAGGTATCCATTTGATCTTTAGTCACACCATTATCTGCTTTTGATAAAAGGTGTTTTATTACCCCCTTTTTGTGAAAGTCATGTTTTTAATTAGGTCAGACTGTATTGAGTTTTTTTCCCCTTAACTTGAGTGTTCTTAAAACCTTTCACACAATTGGATTCAATTCAGTTCAGTTAAATTCAGATTAATAATAATAATAATAATAATAAAAATGGATGCTGTGCTTATGAGGGTTATATGAATTAAATTCAGTGCTTAGTCATTAAATAAGGAGAACTACGTGACGAAAAGGAGCTACAACAACAGAAGTGTTGTACATTTATGTATGTCAGGCCAATCTTGTGTCATTTGTAGCTTAAAGGATATTGATTGCTCACTGGCTGTTCACTTGCTGTAACACAAATGTCGATATTTAGGAGCCAAAACTGCAAATTTTCCCTTATTGTCGACTGTTTTTATATATTTTCTTGAAATAATCATTTTAATAACGTATTTGTCATTCTCTGTCCTATTCTGTCTATTCTCACATGATGTCCTGTGTGTTACAGATGAAGACAATGGGACAGAGAGGATGTGCGACACGCTGCTCATGTGTATAATCACAGTGTTGAACCACGGCCTACGTAATGGAGGAGGTGTGGGCGACATTCTCAGGAGACCCTCCAAAGATGTAATACAATTTCAAAATTTGCTTTGTACTTAAAGGACCAGTGTGTAGGAATTAGTGGCCCCTTCTAAGTGTGAAGGAAAAACTGTTAGAATTAAATTTGTAGTTATGGTGAAAGTTAAATGATGCATTTTCTCCATATTTTACCTGTTCATTGACCATCCAGGAGCCTCTGTTTGCGGCCCGAGTGGTTTACGACCTTCTGTTCTTCTTCGTCGTTATCATCATCGTTCTTAACCTCATCTTTGGTGTCATCATCGACACCTTTGCCGACTTGAGAAGCGAGAAACAAAGGAAGGAGGAGATCCTGAAAACCACCTGTTTCATCTGTGGTGCGTACACCTTTGTGGTTGACCAATATTGTATGCAAATGACTGACAGTATATTTGGAAGAACTCCTGTTAAACAGAGCTAATGTCTTGCAGGGTTGGAAAGAGACAGATTTGACAATAAGACAGTGTCCTTCGAGGAGCATATCAAATCCGAACACAGCATGTGGCACTACCTTTACTTCCTAGTTCTGGTGAGGG